AACTTCAAGAATTTCTGTAACATATCTGTTTGGAATTTCTGGATAGGATAAGTGTTGTTCTGTAGTTAAATGAACACGCCCCAAAGGCTCACATAAAAATTCACTAATGTGAATGCATCTACCTTGTCTTTTTGGACGTAGTTTTTGTTCACCTTTTATAAAAAAAAAAAGTAAAAAAAAAATTAATAAAAATAATAAAAAAATAAAAAAAAATAACAAGAAAAATTACAGACTTTCAGGAGCCCATCCAGTCTTTTTATCATCATTTGCGGCTAATGTTGTTTCATCATGTGTTATTACACAATGTAGTATTTCATTAGGGGGAATATTTTTTTCAACTAATTTATTCAGATCATTTTCATCGTATTCAATAAGAAGGGGTTCTAGATTCGCCATCATAGACAAAAAAATCTCTTGTCGGTATCGTACCATGTCCTCTCGCTCATAACCATCTACATATATACCTTTCTTCCACTCCTTATAGTGCCATTCCAACTTGTTGAGCCATGTTGACACGGTTCTTTCACTGATAGTTGTCTTTTTTTTAATACCTAAAGACAGAAATACTTCATTCTCCACAAATTCTTTTAGAACCTTAGGGTTCACACTAAATTTATGACTTCTTAAGTATGACATGATCTATTTAAAATGTGTCTTCATGAGTTACATAACAATTATATTTTAATATTATACAGTATAAGAGAAATTTTACCTTTAAAGATATCCTTTCATCATCAATAAGACTCACTACCTTTATGAACTTTCCGCGATTATTCTTTGGTAATCTTCTCCACTTTAACTATTCATTACCCCATGTACAAATACATCACGCTTTATAATCGCCCCAGCCTAATGAGCCAGCAATTGTCGCACTTGCGTGAATTTTAGTTCAACCTTGGTGTCTTGACCGCAAGTATTGCAGTGATGCTTGTAAGCGAACCTTAGTTCCTTTATCTATATATCCATCATCCTTTTTTAATAAATTGTCCAGTTCCTCAATTGCTAATTTCATTCTTGCTTTTTCATTAGCTATATTTTTTTCTATACTTTCTCCTGCATTTTCCTCTATATTTTCTTCCGTATTTCCCTCTATAATTCTCTCTCTATTTTCTTCTGTATTTTCCTCCGTATTTTCCTCCACAATTCTCTTCATAATTCTCTCCCTATTTTCTTCCATATTTCTCTCTGTATTTCCCTCCATAATTCCCTCTATAATTCCTTCAATATTTTTCTCTCTATTTTCCTCTGCTGATTGTATCAATGCAACTGCATCTGAAAGTGCACAGGTTGAAGTGGTGTTAGGTGCTAAAGAGTGGGGTGTAGCAGAAGATAAGTAAGAGGTAATAGGTTGAATGTTTTGAGCAGTTTTTTTTAATACGGCTTTTTTTCACCTTAAAGTTCTTCCAGAATCACCAAAATTAACAATGGGCCTTCCCGAAGTCTTCCAAATATTATTGTTCCTACTAGCTGAAAGTAGAATATCAAAGTAATCAGCAGCTCTTTCATCGATCTCTTCATCTACCCACATATGATCGTTCAGTT